CTTAAGGGTTACATCATACCTGTAATGTTATTCTGTTCAGTTCTAAAAACCATGAGGTTAAAACATTGTTTTTGTCTTGTTACAGGGCATTTCTAGAAAAAAGTGTAATTTATGAAATGAAATGGGATACCTTTCCTGTGTTGTGGTTGTTTTGCGGCTTTGGAGTTGCTCAGTTTGTCTTCCATAGCATTGCACCAGTAGTATTACGTGACAGTGGTGCTACTGCTTTACAACTCTCTCTTCTGACATCTGACTTTTATTGTGTATTGGGTGGTATTCTGCTCCTGCATTATAAGGTAATATCTTGACAGCATTTGAAAGTAATTAACATAATGCAAAGTATTACATGTCATTTCTTTTCTTTTCAGGTTCATGTGTTATATTTTGTATCTTTCTCTTTAACTATGGTGGGTGTACTGATTTATGCTATAAAACGCACTCCTATCACTACACAGCAACCTGCGAGTTACAGGTATGAAGCTTGTGAATTGAATGAATGAATGTAATTGAAATGTTGACATTTTGTTGTTGCAATCAAGTTTTTAAGTAATCTTGAATGTCTTTTTATTTTACTTAGAATGCATGTAAATCTAACTTTCTTGTATTTTATTTGATTTGTTTGTTTACGCAGTGAAATTTATGTTTCGTTTCCATCTTTTGACTCTTCATGCAAACAAGGTAATATGTTGTGTTGTTATATGTAGGCTGGTTGTAGCATGAAATATTTTAGTATAACATGTCCATGACTCTGTGTAATGAATACATTATCATTGTTATCAAAGAATCATGTCGAGAAACCACACTACTTCATTCGACGTAGAGCTAGCACCAGCCATGACCTTGAGCAGTGGTTGTGCTTCAGTGTCACCAAGTCATGGTACTCTCAGTGGAAGCACTGACACTGTACTTTCTGCTTCATGTATTTCACAGGTACTGATATTTATTTTCAATTACAATAACAGAATGAAATCAAAAGTGCAATGTGTATGACCTTGTGTACATTAGTGTGGCCCTTACTTTTAAATTCTTCAAACTTACATATGGCACCTGCTAGTTTCATTCTTTTGTATATGAAAGTAATACAGACAAAAATTGGTAAAAGTCTATCAATAGGAACCTGTGATGCATAGAGACCATGAAATGTGCATTGAAAGCTTCGGCAGAAAATATTATTCATTCGTCAAGGAGACTCTACAAAACCAATTAATGAAAAGGAGATTACAGATAATTCTTAAAATTCTTAAATATTATATTATCTATAGATACATTGGTGCTCTCTCTTATTACATGGCCTTGAGAGTCTTAGAAGCCATCTACCATTATGTGAGAAGGATCTAAAACAATGCCATTTTAATATATTTTTATACTGGTTTATTACACTGGTCTGCATCATTTTTTATGTCTGTGATATTTTGTTTCTTGATGCGTATTTCACGGTGATTTCAAATCTGCAATCCGTACTTCCGCATTAGCTCCAGTTTTCCTCTACAAGCCAATATATGTTTTTCAGATTTGTGGTCTTTATTAGACGTTAATGCTAATATGAAATTTTTTTTGTCAGATTGTTATAATTACTTGAGCATTATACATGTTAAAGATAACTAAAGTTTAGCAATTAACATGAATAGAAAATGTAAAAATGACCCGAACAGGTTTTGCTACATATGTAGTAAAGTAATGTTGCCTGGGCAAAGATCAAACATTGTGAGTACAGCATTTCTGAAGGCCAGCTTTTACACTTATTTTGTTATGAAATTGAGAGATCAGGACAAGACCTTTGCTCCACTGCTATGGTGTCGAACATATATTAAGTATACTTAGATGATGAAACAAGGGAATCATGAAGGCAATTGCCCTTTGGTATACCTATGGTGTGGAAGGAAGGAAAGAATCAGTTAATGCTGCTGCTTTTTCTTGATGAATTACAAGATAATTAACGACAAGAGACTTTATTTTATATTTCAAAGGAAGAGGGATATCAAGGTTGCTGGGACATCACTATGATGGCTGACTGTTGTTGGATTCTGAAAAGAGATGAAACCTACCATACATTAATGAAAAGTGCTTAAGTAATTATTTCTATAAAATAAATTGTCTTATGTAAAAAAAAAAAAAAAACAAACAAAAAAACTTTAAAATATAAAAAAGGAAAGGTGAAATAGTTACAATTATTTCAATCATTCATATTTATTACTCAAGAGAGACACATATAGAATGGAAGTAAGAGGTTACCAATCTTTTCCGCAATATTTGTGTGTGTTTAATATAATTTTGTATTAACAAAGGTTGTGCTGAAACTCTCTTGTGTTTAATTCGCTTAATAGTTACCTTCATATAATCTGCTGCTGTTGTCACAGTCTATTTTCAAGTTATTGACCCTCTCTAAATAGGAAATGTGCTAATGGTAATAACAGTATGCATAGTAGTCATAGGATCCATAGCACAAAAACTAGACATGATTGAGAAAAAGTGATATTATTTTTGAGTTCAGCATGATCAATTCCTATAAAAACTGTTGAAAAAATCTTAATATTATAAATTTCTTTTAAAATGCAGGCCAGTGTTATTAGAGCTGAATTCTCAGGTGCTCAAAATGTGTTTTTGGGATGCCATTAGATGTGTTCTAAAGGGTGCACCCTGAAAGAACCAGAAAAATATTCCTTTCGTTTTAATGTTATCTTGTTTTCCACACTTTTAAAATAATGATTTACAAAGTGAAAATAGCTGAATATTGTGTCCTAAACTGGATTCAAAAATGTAATATAACATTCCAAAAGTTCTCATTATGTAGATGATGGCATAGGAACCATAACATGTATCCCTTTAAGGTCACCCTAAAACTGTTTTCAAGGACTTAAAACATTGTTTCAGTTATGTACAATTGTAACATATGTTGCTGGTTACATGTGTTTCTGCTCTTATCCCCAATCATAATTTATGAACTTTCATTTTTTCATCTTATGTCTGTTGGGAGTAGGTAATTCTCTCTCCAGCAATAACATACTTATGAGGTTTTGTGTTGGTGGTTTCTAGTAAATGGTGCAAAACCATCATCTTAGGGGATTTAACCAAAGCAGGTTAATTATGGCTTCATAAGTCAAGAGTTATTGCACCCTCTTGCACTCTTTTCACAGCGTATATGCATTATTAATGATTATATTTTTGTGAATGTGTAAATGTTTAGGTTTGATTTGGCTTTAACCAAACAGCAGAAACTCAAAACTAAACCTATCACTTTGTATAATTACTAGTGTATCATAGGGAACGATTTCTTGAATCCATTTATAAAAATTTTGTTTACATTTGTTTCTGTTATCTGAGTCTGTTTTATTGATGCTTTCTGACACTAATATCTCTCCCAAAGTAAATGCGAAAATTATCTAAAGATAACAAAGTCTTATTCATGGTGAAAATTTGAAATAATTATTACTTCTGCTATTAAATCTATTACATAATTTCCAAAGATATTTCAGACATCGTTTTTGTGCATGGTTTAATTTTTTGGGCAGGTGTGATTGATACTTGTTTGTGGTTCCTCAGTAATCAGATAATTCCTTTGCATATTTGATTATAATGTTAATATTGTTATCATGACAATTAATTTGAACTGTTGTATCTCCTAGAACACTAAAAAAATCCTCCATCGTTTTTTTATTAAATTTTGGTGTTAGATAGTGTAAAAGACATTAAAGAGAATAGGGCAGGTTTCTTTTTCGTTGTACTTTGATTCTGAAATGTTGCAAAAATTTAGAATTTTTTAGCGTATTCCGACATAAAATATAGACTTTTTCCCTTAATGAAATATGTTCCTTAAAGAGAGATTTTGGAATTGTCACTTTCAATATATATATATATATATATATGTTGTTGTGTTGTTGTATATATCATGTTGAAATGTTTGAAAATGCGTATTTTTTTTGTAATTTTGTGACAAACACAGTCACCCAGTCCAAATTTATTGCTCTTCATGCACGTAATTCCAGGCAGTTGGATGCTTCGTAAATTGGAATTTGTATATTTTTTCATATTTCTTTCTGTCTTTCATTTGAGCTTTTGTTATTAATTTACAAATTAATATTTCAGAAATTATTTATACCTCTTTGAAACACAGGAAACAAAAATTGCTAGCCTTCAGGGAATATCAGATTGGAATGCTAGAATGGCTTAACAACAATGACATGAGAGCTAATTTATGTAAATTACATCTTATTTGTGGAACCTGGTTGAAAAGCAGTTTTAATAGTAAAATTTATGCTGATATTTGCTTGAAAATATTTAGTGTTTGTACCAAGTGTTGTACGATTTGTAATGAGTTTTACAAAAAATGACAGAGATGTGTTAATTTGGAGAGAAATTGTGGTATAAATAGTATTATATAGCCATTCCTAAAGGCAAGAGCACATGCTTTTTTAGCACCATGGTTTTCTAAATTTAGCAACTGGATCTATGCACTTGAATAACAATAATAAGAGTTTTCTGCCGATAATTCTGTGTTTTGTCTACTGCATAAGTGGTAGCGCGATAGTAAAAGAATTGCATGCTCAGCTTGAAATAAAAATTAAAACAGTCAAATAAAAATGATCAAACACGTTTAATAAAAGTCAAATTATAATGTATTTTGTTTATGAAAGATTATACATAAAACTTACATGCATAAAAGGTGAAATACAACAGGAATTCTCTATTTATTTGAAATTATAATAAAATATATAAGTAATATAAGTCAAATGCAATAAAAATTGCACTTAAAATAAATATATAATTTTATAAATAATGCAATGGTACATGCTACACAGGAAAAAAAAAACAATATCTCAGGAAAAGTACAGGGAAAACCCAGGAAAAATAAATTTGGGTTACTGATGGTCACCCCGTAATACTTCAAGGAGAATGTCACGTACTTCACCAGTGAATTCTCTTGCTAAATTAAATAGATATGTAATTGTTGAAAATGCATTACACTGTGAGCAGAGGCGCAAATATACAGTAAAACCCCGTTTTTACACTTTTCAGGGGACGGATGAAAAAAAGTGGAAAATAGAGGAAAGTTGAAAAACTATAGGCTAGGAGAGTACTTTCATTATTTACTGCAATGGTAGCTCTGTATTCACTTTCTCGCCCTTCGTAAGAAGAGAAAGTGAAGCGTGCGCCAGAATCGGCGATTTTTGTCAGAAAATCTCTTATTGATGGACCCTGGTAATGAAAAATTGGATCAATCAGTTTCCTATGTATAGTAAGTTACTTCCTCTAACATGTAGTACATCCCTTTTTTTATGGGTTCTTGAAACCGCAAAATCGATTGATGGCGTTTGCACGCATGTGCTATATGCAAAAGGGAAGGATATTCAATTACTTACATTAGCATTGAAAAATATTGTACATTTAATGTCATCAACTTCTGGGGATCGCTGGAGCCCTCAAGATATCTCTGAGGCAGTGCCTTGAGAAACAGTGGTTTCAACCTCTGATTTACGCTATACATGATCACGCGGTATTTCTACTTCTATGAAAGGAAGAAACTAACCGACAGAATCAGTATTGAGCCAAAACTATTGAAGCTAGAGACATGAAATTTGGAATGTAGGTTCCTATTACAATTTATTTAATCAATAAGAAAGGACTTCTCAAAATTCATCCCTTGAAAGGATAAACTTGTGTGTGTTTTTCCATTAAGTTGACTGCTATCTGCAATACATCTAGGCATTGTGAATTGGAAGGCAATGCAGTGCAGGGCAAGGCTGGATTGATAGGATGGAATAGGAAGAGGCAGGATGGGACTTACAGGCTGAGGATACTAATAAAATTACTTAATACCAAGCAATGCTGGTTTACTTTGGCTATTTAATGTACAAAAAATTTCAAAAAATGCTCCATTGTCAAGAAGCAGTAAAGAGAACGTAAGGGCAGATCACGTTTTAATTTTTCTCAAGATCTTGAGTCAATAATGAATGGAATGAAATATTTTGCAATTTTGTTGGTTCTATGGTTCTCTCACAAGACGAGTCAACCCAGTAACATAGTTAGATACACAATGCTTAATTTTTTGTGCCTTTTCTATACTATCTTATTATCATATTATCTTATTACCATATCTTACTAGTATTGTTGCCAGCAGATAGCTTCCAATTAATATCATGTACCCATGGCTTGAAAAAGAAACTATATAATAACAAATCACATACACCTATCAAAAAATCTGTCCTGCATCAATAATAGGTCTTGAGACCGTTAAAATGTTGACATTTTTACTCACTTGCATTTTTTGGGCATTTTGTGTTAAGCATGGCAGACATGAGTTAGCAAAAAAGCTAGAATGTGTTTTCAATATCTCAGACCTTCTCAAATATTAAGTTGATTAACAAAATTAAGATAGAAATTGAAAAATAAATATTACATTTTTGAGCATCAAGGAGTGTAGAAATGGGGTTTGGGTAGATAAAGGCATGATGAATATTTGCAACATATAAATATTTATGTAAGATTAATGAAATATCATTTGGTACTTAGTTACGGATGGCCATAATGCTCAGATTTATATTTCATGATGTAATGAATTAAGAAATGAATAAATACTGCATTTGATTATTAAAATCTTATGGTAAAAGTAATATGAATCAAAGTGCAAATGTAGAATCAAGGGTATTGCAGTGTTTAGAAGTGTCATTTTATTTGACATAATACAAACTATTAAGAGGCTTTTGAAAGGGGTTAATATTCATCAAAGTGTAGCTTATAAAGTTAATATTTGGAGCAAATTTAGGAGGTGCAAACTTAAAGAAAAAATGTGTGCTAAGGACCGCTCTGATGTATACATATTATGTTTTGAATACAAAGTATGATTATTGAATTTCCTGTTTTATCACACATTAAATCTATGTTTTCTTTTTCCACAGAACTTGAGATCAAGTGGAAACAATTCATACTAAGCAGGTATAAAAAAAAATTCATGAAAAGATGCTCAATTGGGAACCTGACGTCTCCTGTGCTATTTGACTTTGAAATGGTTTATGATATATCTGATATGTATATTATTTATCTGATTTTAAAACAAAAAATAAAATATATTAAGTAAAATACAGTTTTTCTAAAAAGCAAAGAAAATTTTATTCTGTACTGGCTTAACTAAATTTGAACCTAACCACTTCAACAAATTTGATAAATAAATATGTTCTTTAAGAAGATACTCTGTGCCAAAAATACAAAATTACGAATCAGAATTTCTTAATTGTTATATGTACATTGTATCAGTTCTTTGTATAGTGTATCAATCGTGAGGAAATTGTAAGTGCATGTTGTGTATTGTAAATAACCCATTTATTGAAATGCATTTATTGAAATGAATTCTAAAGCAATGTTTAAATTACACACCAGAATGTGAGACAAAACTAATTTTATTCTTTATTCATGGATTTAAGATAACATTCCTTTATTCAATACTAATAATTTTGCCAGTGTTCACTTTAAAAGTTCATTACAAATTCAACTCATATTTTTCACAAAATTTCTTATCCAACTCTGTTTTAGTGTTCACCTAGGTAAGATTCATTGAAGGGAAACTAATGATATTTTTATGTTTGGTTAGTAAAACCTTGTAAAGTGGAGAGTATTTCCTTCTATGTGATGTAATGTACTTGATATCAGAATATAATTTATTCTGTTATAAATGCTTACTATATTTTTATCTTATTATTATTGTTTTGAACCAAATTTATCTCTGTAAGAAAATTGTTGTCCAGTAATTTTTAGTGAAGACAATTACTGAGCATCTCCATTTAAAGGTCAATGTGAACAAGTTTGTCAAAAACCCATATCATTGTATCGAATCAAAATCCTTGAAAGTAGTTCAATTGTACATTTAGACTAGTTGTAAGTGGTTAAGTGAAATGACTTACTGTAATTTGCTCTCTAAATAATTATTACAAACAATTTTGTTTTCATCACCTTTATTTAATGACTTATGTTAATTTATCTCTGAACAACTGCAGTTTTAAGTTTGACCATCTTCCCATTAAAGATGACATTACAGGCAATGAAAAACTAAACAGTGAGGACAAAAGGTCAGACTTGCAGTTCTCCTTTGAGTGTTTCACCCCTCAACGTACAGCCTTGCTGAAAATTTTGCAGATGTACTAGAGTACTGAAATTAATGTAATTAACTGTGTATTATGTGAAAATAAAAAATAAAAAAATAAAAAATTGAAAAACAAGAATTCATTGTAAGAAGTTGATGTAAATTGTACTCTTCAGATAGGTTAATGGTTAAAGTTTTTCAGGAACCTCTGATGTTAATTTAAGTCTATTCAAGGACATTAGTTGTAGGGATTCATTTAAAGAATAAATGTAAAATCAAAAGTAATGTTAAATGTCACTAAAAATTTATAGTGAGCGTAATTTTGTGTTGAATGTAGGAATAAAAATGTTTTGCTGGAAGGAAGATTAGCTGTTTGTAATAATTGTTCAAGGCAGAGACCTTTATTTACAAAAAATTTATTTAGATACGGACATTCTAAGTCAATCAGGTTAGTTTGAATGTCAATGTTAAAAAATTAATTACATATGATGTACACAATATTCTACTTTGCTTGTCTGGAATACATTTGTACAATATTATACAAAGTGTGTAATATTTCCTGTTTTCTCCCTCAAAAGTAATTTTTCTTCTGGTATTTGAGTTTTTTTAAAGGGAAAAAAATTATACTTAGTTTTTACTCATAATTGTCCATATTATTTAATTTGGAAGTAAAGAACTTTTGGGTGATAAAACAATTGTAACTTAATGAAACAATAATATTTGAAAAACAATATTCTGAAACACTTAAAGTGGTTGTAACTAAATAATTTATATATTCCTTGAGATTGATACACTTTCTATTGCATTTTTTAATGTAACAGCTACTTTATATGGAAATCTTTTGTACAATGGAGTTCATTGGAATAATTAGGAGAAATTGAAATATAAAAATGATTACCAATTTCAAAATATTGAAATAATTTCTGTTGCTGCATTTTGTAATTTTAGTGTAAAATCCTTGTTTGACATGTGAGAGCAATTTTTTTTAAATCTTTCTTTTTTTCTAATCTCTTTAAAAATTTGTTATGTACATTGAATCCAAAAGTTTTTAAGATTACATTTTTTATTTATTGCATAAAATGTTAATTTAAAAAAATTATTAATACAATGAATTGTTATTTTGCTGTTTATTTTATATCATGTGGTGAAAGTAAATTGGCATCCTTGAGGAAAAGGCAAAAATAAAAAAAAATGTTTTTTTAATATATTTTATAATTAATTTAGAATTCTTCTTTTGGGTTTCCCACTACACAATGGTATTACATCAGTGAATGTGATGTAGTATATTCAAATAGTTCAAGGCAAGAAATAAATGAAAATGACAACACTTGTGGGGTCATTCATGGTAATTCACGAAAATTTCTAACATGTCTCATAATTCCCAATTTGTATATATTCTGTGTGTTTTGGGGAAAGTCATTAACGAAAATTATGAGACAAACATTCACACAGACAAACTTGTAATTATGTATGTAATATTTATGTATGTAATTATGTATGTAATATTTATGTATGTAATTATGTATGTAATATTTTCTTGCCTTGTAAAATCAATGTGTAATTTGTTTGTAGCTTCAGTGAAATATTTCGTAATGACAAGAATGTGCCATGTGAATTCCAAATTATTATTTATCTCCTTTATTGGAGTGACTGAAAATTAATTCAGAATGTGTAGTAAAGCATTGCAAAAAACAGTAGTATGTATTTAATGTCTTTCATATATTACATACTTTGTAAACAATTATGTAAGTAGTTACCTACATACAACTGTAAACTGTCAAGCAGACTTAATTTACTTCGTTACTTACTATGCATATTATGATTACAGTGTTCAATAAAGACTGACTTTGAATATAACAGCATCACATGAAATTATTAACTCAGTGATTGCATAATTAAAAGTACTATGTAATAACTGTTGAAGTGTTCCAATAAAGATTAGAGGTGCTTGAGATCTCAGAACAATATTATTCTCATGTTAATGGGCAAAAGTTAATTTCAAAGTTAACCGTAGACAATACTGTATTTAAAGGCATTTCTTACAATACTCCAAATATTGATTCCTATGTTAAGGATGTTCTATTGATAAGAGTAGAATAATTTGTATTACTCATTATTGCTGCAGAATCTAATGTTGTTTGCTTGCTTGGATAGAACGAAATATTTAAACGACTACCAAATAAGCATTTTCAGTTTTAAAGGCCTTTGAAATCATAACACCTTACACCTTCTGTTGTAATTAATTGCTGCAACTTATCAAAAATTATGTTATAAAAACACTGTGCCTTACAAGATCATAAATTTGATGTATGGTATGGATCAAACAAATTTTTGTTTCTTCTTTAAATCTTGCTTATCCTCTCTCTACTTGGAAAATTGCAGCATAAGACATGTTGATTTTGAGTAAATACAGGCTGTTCAGGGAAGAAACTTCAAAAATAAGCACTTAAAACAATTTTAAGCATATTTTGTCTTATAAACTTCATGAGCTGTATAAACGGTTGAGCCAATTTATAACATTCGACTGCTTTTTTATCTGTTTATTAATTTTTCTTTCTGGACAAATATAATCATTTATTTTGTAACAATAAACAATTTACATGTTTCTGCAATGCAAATTTTAGAAAGTATTTTTTCAACCCAACTTTTGAGTGCAACTCAGCCATTTGGAATATCCAAGGAGTTTATTGGACGAAATATGCTTAAAATTGTCTCAAGAGCTTATTTTCAAAGTTTTGATGTTTCCTCCCTGGACATTTTGTATGTAATATTATCTATTTAAAGGACACTTCAAAATATGTATTTGAGCTATGTGAAGTGTAGACAATCAGTATTTAAAGAGAATATTCTCAAGTGTACCTATGGTAGCAACAGTAGTAATTTTCCTGTACACTAATTGATGATCAAATAATATGAACAAAATAGAGAAAACACTTAATTTAGTGTGAATTGGTGGTTGTATATTGTGACAAATACCTATATTAATTACTTAGTTTGACTTCCACTATGATTATTTGAAAATTTTAGGAGCGGAATTTTTAGTTTTTCAGTAGTCCTAATACAAAATTAAGACTTAGTAGGCCAACATCATTCAGAAAGTAAAATGTGTAGAAGATGGTAATGGAAAATATATTAAAAATTGATTTTTCATTAAAAAAATTGTTAAAATCAATAAAGGATTTTAAGAATCTAAAGAATAAAGTTTTTGTTTATTGATAATTGATTTTCATTAGAAATGTATGATTCAATAGGAGAAAAAGTTTCATTTTATTGTACTGTTGTATCCAGCAGCATTCAACAGGTGTGTAATTCTTTTGCAGAAAACCTGCAAAAGCTGATTACACCTGCTGCATATTGTCTTCCCCAAACATCCTAATGGCAACATAGGCATTTCACTGAAATAAATGTTAAGGTTAAGCATGCGGCTCTACATTTCATTTCTTGTATTGTACTGCCGTAGTTGGAGGTTTATGGTGAGAAAAATATTTGTGAAGGACAGCATATTTTATGATGGAACATTTGACAGTATTGGCTTTTATATTGGCAATTTTGCTACTGACAGGAATCATTATCATTCTCTAATTGAAGCTCAATACATCATATCATATATACTGTGCCAAATATCATATTGATAAAAAGATTTCAATAGCAGTAATTGTATTTCATTGATTTTTATGACAATTTCTTGTATATACATGTGTTTTTGTGTACTTTTGACATTTCCTGAGGCATAAGTGTGATGTAAATGTACTTTTACTTTTGGATGGATTGAATCTAGTTTTGGCGTTATCATAACCTTAATGATATTTCTGATTGTAATTACTTGATGTCATATTGTGTCAAATTTTCTTCTTATATGTGGTTTGAAAAATGCATGTGTCTTGAACAGAGTTATTTTGTAGTAATTGCCAGTTATGTAAACTTCTCTCCAATTAAAATAAGTATGGGATTGACACTTGCACAAAACCATTTTTGCAACAAACAAATAATTGAACTCTTGTTTAAGTGGGCACTTTTGTTTTTCATGGAAACACCTTTGTGTCTTACTAATGTCAATTACATACTTATTATAATCGGACAATAATGTCACATATGTGGGTAGTATGATATTTATTTGTAAATTATGTAATTTTTAGAGTAATAAAGATGAGAGTAAAAAATTAATTATTGAGAAAAGTAATATACCACAAAACAATGATTAATAATAATAATAATAATAATAATAACAACAACAACAATAATAATAATAATAATAATAATAGACAATGATGTACCTACTGTTCAGAATTCAGCAAAAATATAAAATGAATAAAGAGATAAAAAAAAACAAATCTTGTTTTGCATAAATCATAATTAACATAAAATTATTATTAATTGAATAGTTTTAATTTATCATTGAGTGTTTTCTACTGATTTTCTCTTCAGACATCAATTTGTTGGTAAAGTTTCCAATGCCTTCTTTTCATTGGAATGTTTCCCTGGAGAAATTTATCAACCATTCAGAGAAGGCCAAGAGTCCTAGCTTTACTGTGCCAGTCCGAGTATCCAATATAACAACCTGCTATTCTTCTGTGCCCTGTGTACGCTGCTCTTCCATGCAGTACTCTCCAGTTATTAAATATTAGAACAGTCCCAGGTTGTAGTTTAAACCACCATTCATTTTGAGGATCACATATAATTTTTGACAAATTTATAAAATCTTCATAAAAATCTTGCATATTTTCCATTGCTACTGTTTTGAGAGGTGCACGATCATACATGTTGAACCTGAATAAAACAATAAAATGGATCATATGAATATTCCATTTAATATATGACCATTGAACAACAAAAAGAATACCAAAAAAAGTATTGAAACAGGTGGGAAGAATGGAAGAAAACAAACTACAGACAGAAGAAAAATCTGATGCTTAAAAACCATTCTACAGGTAGAAGAAAGTAAGGAAAACCACAGAAGAGATGGAGGCAACAGAAATACTGGGTAGACTAAACCCCAGGCCTACAGGAATCTGATCCCACCTGTACAGGTGTAGATCGATACCCAGAACTGTTCATGATGATGATGATGATGATGATAACCATGAGCAAGTAGTATATAATATTTACCTAACTTGTTCCAATTCTCCTGTTATTGAATTCAGTTTTAATATTGGACCACATGCTAAATAGTGTTTCTCAGCCTCCTTGAATTCTGATTCGATAAATGTTGAAGTTAGTCGTTGATAACTTGTAGGATATTTTTCTTTCAAATGCTGTGCGACATAGAAACCATCTACAAGTAATGTTTCACCACCTTCACCATCATGGTGTAAACAATGAAATACCTGCAATCTATAATAGGCAAATTATAATACAAAAGTAGCAAGTTCTATTCATTTTCACATTTAACATAATATGATAATACTCAACATATTTTTCACCAATCCTTGTCATAATTTCTTCTACTTTCTCAAAATATCAACAAATAAATATTGGTATATTATACTATAAGAACAATATAAGTATATTTTCCTGACTTATTCAAAATTTTCTATTATTCTCAAATATTAAAATTTAAAGTATTAATCTCAAGTCTTTAATAAAAAACGTTAAAAAATATCAGAAAAGGAGGTGCAACAGCAGCAATAATTCATAAATACTATAAAAAATAATACTTTCAAGGATTCTACTACAACGGTTTTTTAAATTTTTATTAAAAACTATTAAATGTCAAGAACTGCCAACCATCCATCATAAAATGACTTGCCCCGCAGCTTCAGAAAAGTAAGTGTTATCTGTGTGAGCTCCAAGTGCATCACGAGTGTATGCAGTATCTTCATGATCCAAAGAATCAGTAAACTCCCACATATCACCAAAAAATGTTCGCTGAGTATGAGATATTTTCTGAATAACTTGTTCTGTGGCTTCTTTGGTTGGTAATACCTGTTGACCAATACCAATGTACTCAATGACTTCAAGACAAAAAGAAAAAAGCTTATCCTTGTGATACAATTGAACAGACATACTAGTGTTCAATGTAACCATTAAGAAGTATAAGTTATAATATATTTGAGGTTTTCTTCATTTTGCTACTTACATTTTTAATGAAACCGACTCCAAAATGGAGAATAGATGTCAGGAGCTCTAAAATACCTTTGTCAGAATAGAGAAAGTCCTTTACGTCTATTGATTTAATGTTAAGAGATTTCATAATTCTTTTATTCCACAGAACAGGACATTCACATTTTTTTGTGTTGTTATAAAATTGTGTCAACCACTCTAATGAGAAAGTAGATTTATGATTATCTGTCCCTAAATAATATTTGACAGAAATATCATAAAATCAGTTATTGTAAAAACAGTACAAACCAAATTTGATATGAAATGCATTAAATGAAAAAGAGCAAATCTTTAGACAGGGCAGCTGCAGGATATCAAATAATTATTACACATTTAACACACTTACATATTATTTTAAGTATGTTATTTTCAACAGTACATTCTTTTACAGATGCATTTCGAGCAATGTCCAAAATACTGCACCTCTTTTGATTTGTTGAGTAATTGTAGCATTCAGGGCATCTGGAAGAAATTTCTTATTGTGTTTCCATTCAGAGATTAAAAATCTTCGTTAAAAATTGGCATCAATATTACCTGCAGTGATCTCTTAGCCAAATGAGATTAAAATTCAATGGTTTTGGATTCAAAGAATTATCTAATGTTATGAAATTGTTATAAACTACTGCATTACCTGAAAATAAACGAATTAAGTAGATTTCTTAGATTTTTCTCTTTAATATTTAAACAATATTTGAAAATGAATTTGATATTCAAAATATTGTTATTTACTAAAACTTACAGTAAATGAAAACAATGTTAAATACAATCCCTAAGACTTAAATCACAAGTATCTATTCAGTGAAGTTCATGGATTACCTGCAGCAGAATTCAGTAACCTGGTCGGGGTATCCCCCCTGTATTCTTTTAGTCTATCGTAACTGAAATTATAATTTCTGTGGACTTGGAGGTGATAATGATGACAGAAGTACTTGTTTATTCTTCTTGAATTTCTTATTAATTCCTTCAACATCATCTAAAACAGAATATTTTATTTCACAAGAAGAGTTTTCACTTTCAAGAGATGGGTACAGTAGAACATTTTTCTTTTCTTTCTGAATACTTTCCAACTGCACTGAGAAAAATATGCAATGAAACATTTTTTGACTATCTCTATTTGTACAGATATTCAATAGGGTCCATAAAATAAAGGAAAATTCTAATTCTGAAATAGTGTGTATTGTATTATCAACACAGAATTGCATGTTACTAGTAGGATTATTATTTAAATTTATATTTTAAAGAACAAAACATTCAACAAAATGCAACATTGACATTGGGTAAAACAAATTATGGCTTAAATATATTTAATAGAAGCAATTGTTTTATGTATTAAATGGAATACCAGAATAAAAATATAGTTGTAAAATAAGTCAACCCAATATTTAAGAGAAATAATGAAATAAAAGTAGTTTTTTTAGTTTATATTTACAGTATTGGTCCAAAGTTAAACACTATTTATTAGGATTTCAAGAATTGTATTTTGCCTTTCTAAAGTGTATTAAATACTAAAAGAAGATTATTTCTGAGGTGAAAAAACATATAACTGCTTTTAGAAAACGAACCCCAAATTCTTTATAGGCAAAAAGAAGTACTCGAGAGACAAATTTAATAAAATAAGTTTCAGGACATTTCTATTTGAAAATCTGTATCAAGATTACCTAATATGATGGTAGAGTTTTATCCATTTTTGGAATTTTATAATATACAAATCGATTTCAAAAGAAACTTAATGTTGAATTCATATAATCTTACAATAATTTTTTTCCGGTATAAGTTTGAAACAATTCAAGTGTTGTGTGCTTTTGTTATTGGACAATACACACCTAAATAAAAAGAAACTTATTACTTATTGAATCAAATGAGTTTTCTCAAGAATTAAAATGGATAAAAGTAAAATCTGAACATTATATATTACCCCAATGCTAAACTGCTGTTTGTTGGAAGACAAAAGACTAATCTAAATTATGTCCAAAATTCGTTACCTTTAATTTGTATTCAAAATACATTTTTGTGCGACATTTAGTTTGAAAATCCATTTTCTTGTTGCTTCTTTGAATATTTATTTTACATTTTTTTACAAATTAATACAAATTGAAACCAAAATTTACTTAAGATCAATTTGAATGCCCAAATTGACAATAATTTTATTACTGGAATAATATCAACAGTTTATGTTAAGCAATAAGGTGAGTTGATACTCAAATACTTTCTAACAAATTGTAGTTTTGTGGTGAGTTGTCGTTGGCATACAAAATGAAAATGAAATAATTGCCAACAATATTTTTTGTTTCAATAGCAGCTTTTAATGGCTTGGCCATCATCATCAGTTTTCTGCTATATGGAAGCCACAAAATGACTACTTGTATCTACAAGAACTTGTAGGCCTTTCAAAAAATATCATCACTTGGGTGGGCGAGTGGGGGTGACAATTATTTCAGGAGCAAATGAAGGATGGAGGGGCTACATAAAAATGAACATTCTTGGAGCATTTTTAATTAGTATATTAACTTCAAAATGAGAAAACAAATGTGAAAACTGGTCAAAAACATACTTGTGTGATTACATTGATTGAATGAGAAAAAATTTTTGAAATCTAAATGGAATTCTAGACAATTTTTTAAAAAAATCCTTTTTTAACTTACAAAGCATGAGAGGCTTGGTGTTTTCAAAAGGTTAGTTAAAAAAGGCGACATATTTTGAATGCTTTTAAAATGGCCCACACAATTTTATTTATCATTACCTTTATAAAAAAATGCGATTTGATTTGGAAATTCTGTACCTAGGTTCACAAAGGGGAAGACAATTTTAGTGCTATTTAAATGCCTTAAATACGATTTAAAGGACCAAGAAGTGTTTGAACACATTGGATGCATAATCATAGAACAGATCCATTTCTGCTCTCAAGCAGCTTTCCTGATCATTTACAATGCATAAAAACCTGCAATATAACAACAGGACATTTACCTGGAAGAATTTAAGCAAGAGCGAAAATTCTCTGTCAAGTGACTGTTTGACTTTGTGATAATACATATTTGGTTGATTTTCATGTGCAAAGTAAAAAAAACAACAACTTTTTAGTAGTAAAAATATTTATTGATACATTATTTTACTTATAATAATGGAATAAAAAAATTACAAATATAAAAATAAATAGTTTTTTCTAACTCTCAATATTATTTAGTAAAATATTACTTTGACAATACCATAAATAGAAAAAAAAAGTACAAAAAATACATTTCATTTCATTTTCTATCAAAATTCCCAAGATTCTAGCCATTTAAGGCCATACATACTACTGTTTGGGTCTGTAGCTGATGGCCCTATCATACCATATGCAAGTGGTGAAAAAAGATAAAAACTATATACCAGAGCAGAAAATACCACACCAATAAACCAGTGGTACACTGTACTAGCCAATCTTTCAGACAAAGTGTAATACACATATTGCAATAGGTAATGAACAATAATTCCAGACAGCATAGAATTAAAAAGCACGGCAGGAAAGTAATGATGAAAGTAGAGAACCCTTCCCATTGCCCAGAAAGGAACATAATGTAATCCCCATCCAAGGAACAACCACCCACAGGAACCCAACATTCTTTGCCTCAGATCTTTCAATTCAACTGGACACTTGTATCCTCGCTGGTCTTGTACAGAAACATACACAAAAACAATTAAGTATGCCCCTAAAAATATTAGATTTCCCCACCAAACAAGAGGATTTCCTAGTAGATATATCCTGTAATTGTTCCCTGAAAAAAACTGTCCTCTGAAATTGACAGGCCACTGCCAAGGCCTTGAAGTAACTTCTCCTTCCTTTGGCTTCAGCCCGGCATTACCTTGCAACATTACAGCATGTGATTCAATAAACCGTTCAAAAAAACTTGGCGCGTACACTTCAAAGCTTACATTAGGCAGCTTGGGAAATATGTTATCTTCAACATTCCAAATAGCATTCTGATCTCTCATGTTTGGATTACAAGACACTTCTTGCTGTTCGTAAGCCCACTTTGGTAACTGCTTACCACTTGAAGTTAATACACAATGTTGCAAATAATGAACAAATTTTAATTTACTAAATACAGTTGTAACTACATCACCATCATTTCCATTTACAATCATTATTTTCCATACATCGTTTGCATCGCCAGTTCCATTCTCTCCATACCCTGTAACTTGATAATGCTTCTTTGAGAGAGGAGCATTTTCTTTGTGAGAATGAATGTTTCTACGTGTTGACACATGTTCAAGTCTCACAAGATCTCCATGTTTAACTAATTCTATCTCATCAGAATCTACTTCATCTGTATTATACTTTTTAATTAGGAAATTATTGTTTTCATCTTTGTGAGTGTAAGTTGTAACCTGCTGTTGTCTAGCACCAATACCTTCAGGATATAAGTGCCAATGTGAATGAAGGTAACCACCACCTGTTCTATGATTTTTTAAAGTAATAATTGCACCATAGGCCACTTCCTTTGGCATACTCGCATTATACAGTGAATTTCCCTCCAATTGAGACTGAAATGCTGAACTATAAAAGCCATCACCATTTCCACTTTTTTTCAATACTAAAAGGTGTATATAAAAAATTTGCATATATAATACTGCTGGCAGTAATATTAGACATAAAAACCTAGCAGCAAAATGTTTCACAGTATATGCTATTGGCTGGGATAAATCTCCTAATACATTCCATAAGTCGATAACTGTGTACACTCCAATAAGTATGACAACAAAAAGGCCAACAAATTTGACACTAAATGAACAAGTCAACATTACACCAGTAAATACCAACCAAAACCACCAACCAAATGAAAATGCTGGGCTTTTACAACTGTGGAATTTTGCCATTCCCAACACAGATCCCATTACAAAAAATAATAGAATAGGATCTAGTAAAATGTACTGGGTCAATGTCAACATTCCCACATCACAAAGGATCAATGATGCAGACAGAGTAGCGGCAGTAAGAGATTCTGTCAATTCCCAAACTATTATAAAGCCAAATGGGACAATTGCTGCTCCTAATAGAGTACAAAATACTCTCATTCCTATATAATTTACATCTTCATATTTATCGCCTGGTTTCTCAAAAGCAAATCTGCCATCATACCCAGTAAGATAACCAGATAATGCTATTAACATTTTACCAAGAGGAGGATGCACATCAAAGAAGAAAGTTCGATTGATGTACCAACTACCCATTTTCCCGAAATGGGTCTCATCCCAACACACATGGTCAGGTTCAGTCACTTTGTAAAATCTACTGAAAAACGTCAATGTTACGATTGCACCGAACACGAGCCACCAATAGTTTTCACCACTTTTAGTCTGAATCGGTCGTTTTCTGTCGGGCTTCACGTCCGGCAATGCCATTGTTAAATTTACTTCATGTACACTTTAACACCGTATTTCTATTCCTAACGACACATTTTTCAAAGGTATACTGCGTGCATACCACACAATCGTGGTGAAACTGTTATATAGATGAAATATTTGAGTGGAGAATCTGGTTACGAGTCATCGATGGTTATTTTGACATGTAACGGGACCTGAAGGGGGACCAACGCTATTTCCTCGCGAGTGCGCGGAATACGCATCAGATGTGCATGTTCAGGTTAAAGTGGTTCACAGCGTTCCTGGCCAGAAAACATTTTTCTAAAAATTCTACGAATCTACCAAATACTAGTCAACGCTCTTCACACACTACTACTATCATAATTATAACTTTATTTTTACTCTCTCTCTCCTATTATCATTGCGTCTACTATTCACCATGGGCTGCTAACAAGCATGACCTACAGGAGAAAATATTATTTTATATTGTCAGTTTTACTACTTAAGCGTATCTTGAACTCATATTTCGCAATATTATTTATTTTATAAAAGCATTTAAGATCAAGTATTTTTCATTTAATTGGAATAAACAACCAGAAGTCACTGTTCAGCAACGTCTCTCCCCACGTTTGGGTCCCAAACTTTGGGACGTGACCTGCTTGCTATTAATAGTATCATTTACATTAGAATACCTACCCCTACCAGTGTTATCTCCCCTATGACCCCTACACCTCCTGCTTTACACAGCACCTAACACGCAAACCCGTACCATTGAAATACCGGACGTAACTATTTGTACGATATAACACATTTTGTCTTTAAATTACATAGTTCGCAGCAGTGACCTTTAAATTGCCCAGACCTAAAACCACGCTACATTAAATAAAATAAAAGAGGCGAGTAGTATTTAATTGTTCAACAAATTACAAGTATTCGGCCCATTACTATTCTACTCTACTACTCTCATCTTAAACATGAAAATCAATATTATAGTTAAAAATCAACTTACCAAAGACATAACTGCTTTAATCTACCACTGAAATCTTGAATTGATGAATGTAGTTTCCAGAATTAACGAAGACGCTACAAATAACGCGACATCGTTATCAAAGAGTTGGGCAATGCTGTGTTGTCATATATCAACATGCATATTTTTTAATCCTAAAAACTTTCGCCTTAGTTTCAAAATTCAGTGCTAGTCTGTCTTAAGGACTTAAAAAGTTTCTTCAAAATGTTTTTAAACAATCACTTACTTCTTTTTGTTTGAAAAGTGATTAGGAACTTTGTAGATTTTGATAACTCATTGGATAATTTTGAATGATGAACATTCTAAATGTATATTAATACTGTAAGCTCTCAGGTCAGGAACTTGAACCCTCAAACATAAATAAATGATCAGAAAAGTGAGTCTATTTCCAATAAATTTGCTTGTCTTAAACTAAGTGGTCGATTTCATTTAAAGGATGTCCTATGTATTTTGGATTATAGTCTTTCTGTCATGACCAATTGTGGCCATTAGCCCAATTTCAATTCCCTTTTAGATTTTTTCCCTTACTCCTCTTATATAGGGGTCCTCAAGGGAGACTAGCAATCAAGTTACTCAGAAGTAAAATTTTATTTTATTCTAGTAGTTATTTATTATGGTATGAAGAATAAAATAAAATTTTACTTCTGAGTAACTTGATTGCTAGTCTCCCTTAAGGACCTAAAAATTTTCTTCAAATCTTTCTTATTCACTCCCAGAGATAAGGTTACAATAGGCCGAGGGCGCTAATTTTGGTGAGCAAAAAAAATATTTTCACTCCCTAAGGCCATACATTATTATAGAAAGAAAGTAAATAAAACCCCTCACATACACACATAAGGGGTTTTCATTTTTTGAGAATAAATAAATAGCATTTTAAAACATGCCAAAAAGTTTTTTTGATTTTTGCCACTATTCTCCATCTTACAATTTTTGCTCAACCTCAAAACCATACTTTTTTGACTTGGGGTCACTTGGAATTCAGAAGTTCAAATACTTTTAATTTAGTCATCTGGCATAGCCCAAGTGCAAAGGAAATACCAATTCCCTTTATATTAAATATGTTCTAGCTTTTTATACTAGCTCAATTTTGAAGAGTCCTGATTTTATTAATTAACTCTTACTATTTGGTAAAAGTCAAATTGCAAATTGTCTCAATGAGTAATAACACTATTTTCTTGTTTAAACTAGTCTTAACCATGCCTTCTGTTACTTCGGTCTTCACTTATACCACTGTTTTTATTTGGTTATTCTTCTGTATTGCGTTGCCTTCTGTCTTTTTATCCCCTCCCCCGGAAGTTTTGGGCGTTGAATTTGGTTTTGTCTTTCATCTGATGCTCCTTAAATTTTGTTCCTGTCACACTCTTTAATAGTAGCCTCTGATATTACAACAACGTACTTGAAATTTGCATAGCAAATTTGCATGTTTGCAGGATCAAGTTGTGAATTGTGAACTAGTACCACTCTCCAATTTTGTGACGTGGGAGAGAGCAGAGTATTGTTGGGAGACAGTGGCAGGCTTCCAAGATCGAGCATTTCCTATTTTTTTTTTAAGGTTATATGTGGAATACATATCTCCATCATACTTTGAGTTTCTTTTTCTTCCATTTCCACTCTTGCAAAACGGACTCGCACTCATCAGACTTTGAACCGTGAGTTTGCACAACTTCGGTGCGAGTGGTCTCTGCAACTTTTTAGTATTAATTTTCATATTGACGTTAACTTCAAAGTGTGTAAGGAATTTTCTTACACTCTGCTAACTATTTGTTTGATTAATTTTTCTCTCTTGACTGGCCCATTCAAAACTATTGGTATGAATCACCCAGCAAATAAGAGGTGGATGCCACCACATCTGACTATATAATTAGGTATTATACATGCGTGATATTGTCTTTGCAGCTCATAGTTTTATCAGCATTTGAGTTTCTTCTTCGCATGAAAAAGCACTGTAAAATATAAATCTTAACCAAGGAGGAGGTTTATCTGCAAATATACGATGGCCCCCATAGTTTTTTAATGAGAAATTTAGAAAAAATCTTTTCCCACATTTGGGTAAATACAGTAATTAGAAACATTATATAAAGAAATTTATTTTCTCTAGTCACAATACAAGTTATTTAATTATTTAATCTTATACTACCTGGTACCTGGCGCATTGCAGAAGAAATAATTGTGGGAACATTGTTTGAAATTTGCATGAGTTATCTTGTTCTTTTTCTTATTTACGAGTTAACTAATTCTTCCCTCCTCTCTCTTTTTTTAACCCTCTCCACTCTCATTGTTGTGCCACCTGCTCCTCCTGCCCTTCTCTGCCTCGACTCACGACACAAAGATGCTCAGCAACAACGAAGTTCAGGTGTATCAGGTGTATTAGGAATTACATTTAGATGAAGCGTCATCTTGTGCTACATATATATATATATATACAGAGACACTACACAAGAGATACTACAGGGATACTAATTGGATTAAACAATATGAAGGATTTCTAGAAAGAGAACAAACTTATTTAAATTTTACTCTGTTATCCATGAAATTAATTTATGTTGTGTTAATATACAGATTCAAACATTTACATTGTACAGCTTAAGAAGGTAGCAGTTTTTCAGAACATGGACAAAACACACTGCTGTGTTTGAATTTAGGCAACTATAGTTGAGATCCTTCTGACTGACTTGTAAGTAAGGACCTCCAGCTATCACAGCTGTCAATATACTTATCACTCTCTTCTACCTATGAAGGATACTAGTAGTAGAATTGAGAGAAATTCATTGGATTAAGCTAAAAGAAGTTCAATCTACAACTTAAAGACACACTTTAATTTACATATTTACTAGGGAGAAAATTTCAGTACTATCTTATTGTACAATATTTCCATCAGTCTTGCATTGCTGAAAAAAAATCTCAAAAACTCTAAAAACACTGAATATTTCTTCCTTTGAAACACTGCTCTATACAAAAAATACGAAATTCTTCAAATATATAGAGGCAAAAGCCTCCTACTCTGCATTCCATATCTAACATATTCTTCTTTTCAATGAATAAAGTCCATTATGGAATATGCTTCATCAAGCATGATCTGATACAAAAATTGTCAGAGAATGTAATCACAAGGAGACTATTATTGTTCAATAATATTATTTTGTTAAAGAAATTTCACATTGTAATCATTGGAACATCAAAAAGTTCACAAACACCTTCAGATTCATCAAGATTGAAGAAGTAGTCTTTTTCACTGGGAGGAGGACTAAGTCGAACAAGTGGTCCACACACTGAAAATAGAAAAGGATACAATTCTTACATACAATAATTTATAGGCATACTCAATAATCAGAAGATGCTCAGAAGAAAACAAGACATTTTACTTTTATATTATCAAAATTTTTAATTTACTTACATATAAGATACAAATATAAGAATAATAGAGAAATATACCTGTGAATTCATGTTAACAATAGGAAAATAAAAACGTCAATATTAAACAAAGCAAAGATTCAGAGTTAAACATTACTGGTGGTAGCAAAAATCACACCCAGACTCATTTGATTAACACATTCTAGTAAAGAGTTGTAAGCAGTAAAGTTGATACACAAGTCATTAGCAAGAACATGTGATTACTCTACAATGTACAGCAGGAGCTTTAAGTTCAACTGCTCAAGTAATAATGGGCAATCAATGCACTCAATTGCCAATGCACATAAAAACAAATTATCATTAAATCCTCTGAGGGAGGCAAGGGAAAGCAACTTTAAAGTAGTTACTGTAGAACTGTATTAATGATTTATGTAAGGATTGGGAATAATGAAGTTCTGAACAGATTCCAGTTTAGCAGAGTGAATATGAAAATACGGGACCCAAACCTATGATACAAACATCACAATAGGTTTGACTAGCTAATACAGTTATAAGCAGTTTTCAAGATATTATCAGCGTTAAGTTCAGGACAGGTTTCTGTGGCCAAAGCCAAGATGTTAATATCCTTTGTTTGTAGTTTAATCTACACGATTGGAAAATGTTGTTTTAGAGTGAAAATTTACATCCATCCATCCATTAATCACAGAGACAATATCTATAGCAACCATATTTATAGAATAAAGGAGTACTGACACTGACTTCAATAATAAAAATGTAATAAATTTGCCTTTGCTAGGGTTTAAGATCAAATTGCTGTCAGCACCCATTGAGCAATATTATCAAGTGCTGATTGCAGAGAAAGATACTTGAACATCTTACAGACATTCCATAAAGCAGAAATTCAACATCTTTTAAAAACAAAATTCAAGCCATTTATGAACAGGATGAAAATAAAAGGTTTGAAATGGGAAACATGAGGCACTCCTGACAACACTGAAAAGCCCTCAGAGGTGATGTTCTCATATTTAACAAACTGAATTCTGTTAGTTTGGTAAGTAGAGAACCATTGTAACATTGGTCCCGAGAATCAAAACGCTTTCAGTTTCTGTAAAAGCAACTCACGGTTGTTCGAGTCAAAACCTTTACTAAAAATCTGTGACCTAATTTTTAGTTTGCATCGAGTTAGGAATATAATGTGAAAAGTACATCGCATTTGACTCTACATTTCTCCAACTCAAAACCAAATTACCTTTTACTAAGAAAGGGAAAGAGTTTTTCCTTTCAGTGACAATAGGCTTGAACAGTTTCAGAATTACAATCAGAATGGATGTTAGCTATATTATTTTTATTTCCTGATTTAAAAATAGAAACGATGGGGGACTACCACCCAGACACTTACCCCATTTTAATAATGATTTACCAAAAACAAATTTGGAAAAACATTAAGTTAGTATTACACAAAAAAGAAGATTAAGTAAATATACCATCTGGACCCACATTTCTTTAACATCTAACTTGGTTTTGGTAAAAATGTCAGAGACAGACACGTCAACTGTACTTATATTAAAAGGAGTTTGAGCGTCGAGAGATATTTAACTGTTCATTAGCATCATGACAAAATGAAAAATATTTTACAAATGCCTTGACAATCAAGTTCAGATCTTTCCAAGATTCATGATCTTCGGTATAGTTTCAAGTTTATACACTTCCAGAAATTTTTAGGAGTGAAAATGGTAAAGTTTAAAAAGCTTTCATCATAATTTTTGAAGACTCTCTTACCTGAACATTTACATTTATGCTTCAAATTTGAGAATTGAGAAAAGTATAAAAGAGAACTGAAGTGTTTGAAATTGAACTGGAAAAATACATGGAAAAAGCAGAGTAAGGGAGAGAGAGGGGACAGGAAATAGAAAAATCTTACACATGTAAATGCATGACAAGTTCAAAGTACTTACAATCATGAGAGAGAAATTCATCAAGTTCTCCATGGTATCCACCCATACTTGCATCTAAAACAAACACATTTCAAAATCAATTTAATTATTTGAACAATTAAAAAGAATCTAACAATTGGCAGTTCCCCAATTAGTAGAAAAGAGAGTTGACAGAAAAGAGAGAAATGGCAGTTTCACTGAAATTTATTAATTAATTTAATTTTTCTTGACACCTGTTTTTTGGGGTATTTTTTTAATACCATAGGTGTATAATTAAAATATTGCAATGACAGATATGGCAGTTTTTACTTAGCATTCTATTCAAATTTTGTTACTGAATACTGTGATATCTTTTCTTTCCTTTTGTATATAAATTTACAGTGTGAGAACTCAGGAGGTATAAATGCTGAATTTAGGATACCATAAGTTGGGAGAAATCCGGCAGTTTTCACCAAAATTTTCTTTTTCACGACACTAAACAAGACCTGGCACATTTTAATATATTCTTATTGGAAAGTATATATTTACGGATTGGGATAATGTAATACTTTTAGGTAAAACAACAACAGAATGTGACTGAGCACTACTTTAGACAATCAGATCATATTCCATGGAAGTCTAATAATATAGTACTCTGGACACACAACACACACAATAACACTGCTATTAAACCCATCTCAGTAATTAAACTATAAATATACAAACACTTTTTAAGCTTATTTGAGCACAGAATAATGATTTTTTAGCGATTTCTCTTATAAATTTAGGTGAGAAAGTAAAAATAATTTGCAGAGATTCTGCATAATAATGATTTGTAGGATGATGCAAAGCAATTGATTCTAAATATATTCTTACAAAACAGTAAGAAGAAATTTTACAACCCAAGACTATTCTTTCCAATGGAACCACGAATTTCAATAATAAATTAATGGAGCTACAAAAGCGTGCACTTCATATTATTTGTAATGTAATATTACAATATTACAACTTGGGAATTAAAATCATGCAAAATGAGTTGAAAGTTTGACTGAAAACTGCTATTACCACCACTATTATTATTATTATTGGAATTCTTTTAGATTTTTGATGTCATTACAAGTTTTTAATATGTGAATTAAGTAAAACATAATTCTCATTTTTGCCAGTTATTAACTGCTATACGTCATTACAAGATTTTATTTTGTTAATTATGTACAACTAAATCTTCACTGATACTGTAAACTACCGTCATCACAAGATTCTAATTTTTTTAAACTGTATAATGTTCCTGGTTCACTCATTCAGTTATTTGGTTATTCTATTTCATTTTTGTTTTACAATTTATTTGTTAGTTTAGATAATAATTGGATTATTGTGATTTCTTTTTTCTTTCTGATTGTTGAGTTTCATCATTGCAAGATTTTACGTTGTTAATTTTGCACAACTAAATCTTCATATTGTAAACAGCGGTTATCACAAGATGATAATTTGAAAATAATGTATAATGTTCCTGTTACTCTTATTCAGTTTTATTGTTTGTTTTTTATTTGGTTATTCTATTTTACTTTTTATTTTTTTACTTTAGATAATATTTTGATTGTAATTTGTCAACTAGTAATTATGTCAATTATTAATTTGTCACTGTATAGGCTACGTCTTGTTTGTGTGTCCTATTATTTGTTGATTTGATTTGTCACTACAAGTCTTCAACATGCTAATTAAGTATATCATAATACTCATTTTTGCCTGTTGCCAACTGCCATCTTATTTCATTTGTTAGTTTAGAAAATAATTGGATGATTTTGTTTTCTTTTTGCCTGTTGAGTTTTGTCATTACAAGATTTTATGTTGTTAATTACGTACAAGTCAATCTTCATATTGTAAACAGTGGTTATCACAAGATGATAATTTGTAAAAAATGTATAATGTTCTTGTTACTCTCATTCAGTTTTGTTAATTGTTCACTTTATGGACTAATTTTTGTTTTTGAGTCCTATTATTTAATTTCTAATTATTTATAATTGGACAATTTCACTCAACTTAATGTCAGCTGCCATTTGGAATATAAGTTCTATTTGTTTCTTGATTTGTTAATTTAATAATTTTATTTCGCTTTGCTTGGTGATTTGTCACTCAAATTTTCAAAATGGTAATTAAGTATAATTTAATTTTCATTTTAGCCTGTTGCCTACTAACATATCTTTTTATTTATTTACAATTTTATTTGTTATTTTATGATTTTGATTTCTCTTTGTCTGTTGAATTTACTTGGAAAAAATCTAAATTTCAATAGAAACAATTCACGCATCATACAGCAACTGGCAAACTGACGATGGGTGAACTATAATCAACAATGGTAATACATAAAAGGAAATAACAAAACAAAACAAAACAAACTTACAACGTAACACACCCCTCTCTGACAAGTACATAAAGTACTTAAGAGATGGTTTGAAGTGTACTGAATAAGATAAAATAAATGTAATAAATATATTTAAATTTAAATCAGTTATGACCAGTATTTTTACTGAAAGGTTAAACAGGATGTATGTAATGTAGTCCAACAAAATTGGTATTTTTTCTTATTGTTTTTTATGGTGATGGTTTTTGTACACTGTCAATGTAATTTTTTTGGAAATAAATTATTTATTATTATTATTATTATTATTATTATTATTATTATTATTATTATTATTATTATTATTATTATTATTACTATACGTTGTGTGTACCGTATAATAAGTCCCTTGTTTCAGCAGCTACCTCACCTTGCTGGCAGTGTCACATTTGAATACATTGACAGTTTAGTAGTCACCCCCAGCTATTTTTAACTGAATAGAATAAGAAGTGGATACAATGTTGATCCAATACCTTCCTCTGTTGGGACGCATTGTCAGATTTCTTCGACTAGTGACATCAAGAGACGCTCTTCCAGCAAGGGTTTAATTTTTGTTTAAGTTAAAAAGGATTATAATAACATTTACATTTGCTTTGCTTATACCCAAGCTTTCTCACAGTGTTTGCTAATCCTTTCTTCCCCTCTGAGGGACCAGGCAGAGGGCCAGTGAAGTGTAAAACCAATATGTGGACAACTGTGTATGTTAATCAGATGTGATGGTCATTCACGAACTATTTCACGAGACAACCCAACCCCCAGAATTACGTTTTGAAGTCTCGTTGGCTAGCAAGTTTGGGTTGTAGGATGAAGAAGTGCATGATATGAGGTCAAGGATGTTTAAAACTTGCTGAGAAAAGTCGTGGGATTCTAGAAAACTTGCTGATGTTTTTAAGTGCATCAGTACACATTTAATAAAATTATTAAAAAAAATAAGAGGCATATTTTTGTGAAGTTTTAAAACATATGCAACTCATCTCAACAAACAAATTTGTAAGTAATTTAAAAATAAAAAGTGAATAAAACTTCTGTAACAGATTTACATGTATCTTATTATTTCAGTATAGTTTCTTTTTTAAATTGTATTTGGTGTAAGATTATTTAAATGAGTGTACCAAAAACATTTTAAGTTTTCAGGAATTTACACTTCCTGTAACTTTGTAACCTTGATTGAACAGGCATCTCTATTGACCACTAATTTTTGATGGAACAATTAATGACCACTTGAGACAGATTTCACTGAGTTGTTTGAATTATGTTATTTTGCAGAAGCCTTATTGATCCAGAGACAATTTTAAATCAAAAGGCCAGGTTTACAAGCTCTGCATAATTTTAAAAAGCTGGCTCCCATTCGCAAGTAACTGATTGCACTTATAATACTGGACACATACATCCTTCGAACCGTTAATTACGATAGTTGTGGTAGGGAAAAAAAACAACAACTAATTGTAACATTCAATGAGTGTACAGAATATGAAGTGGAACTATAAGATGAAAACTTTCTTACATGCACACCACTGAAACAATTTTGAGTACATGAAACACGAGTGGTAAATAAAAAATTCAATATTATGGAAACCACAGCAATGGTAATTTTAACAAAACTGAAAGATCATACATTTTTTCTACAAATAAATAAAATATACGTTCTTTTATGGACACGTTACGAATCACTTCATTTTCATTATCATATTGTACCTGAGTTACCTCCAGAAATGACATCACTAAGAATGATGTCAGAATCCATTAACTCGGGATCTTGTTCTGTTACATCAGGTTCCAATTTAGGTTGCTTAGGAGGTCTTCCGGGCCCTCTTTTCCGTTTGCCACTAGTGGGAGATGGTGCTCTGGGCTGCTCACTCTATAAAAATAAAAATATGGTAATAATTTATATAATATAATATTCTCATATTTGGAATGTCAACAACACATTGCCAAAAAATCAATATTGTTGAAGAAGGTTATCATAATTTCCATTAAAAATATCCCAACCTAAAATAATAAAAAAATTAATTAAGAGTAAAGTATTTTCTCACAACTAAGACATCACTCATTTCATATTTATAGCAAGTTGTCAGGCAACTTTTTTGGATATTCTTTACGTGTTGGGGGATGCAGCGAATTGCACCGGTCTTTTGTCTTTATACCAACCTGCGAACAATTCATGCTGTTCTGCCCCATGCAACTACAAACTTATGGAAATTCACATATATTAGTATTCACACGAAAAGAACCTAACCATGGATGAATATGACCTTGTAATATAATATCTCCTCTAACCTAAAGCATCGAAGGAATGTATTACAAGGTTAAAAAGAGTTAAAAATTCTACGAAAACTTTATTTATAAATATCACAAGCCTCATAATGTAATATTACAATATTCAACTAGAAACAGGAATGAATCTCTGCCCATTATTTTGCAATTTTTTTGCCACAAATATTCCACAAAATATCTTGTCCACATCATAAACTACTGTGATAAACAATGACATAAGAGTCACCATTGGCTTTAAATAGCGTTTACTCCGTTTCCTGCCTCCAAATCCCTTTCCTCTGTTTTCAGTAGCAGCCAATAATGCCCCACAATCCGCACATGGCATTTGAGTGGGAACAAGTCAATGTTCACAGTACCATTGTACTCTGCCTCATTTCTCAAAATATCTGCCAAAGCTTTCCAATTCATGATGGAATGGCAAACACTAAATACTACTAATACCTGCTTAGATTACGAAGGTTGGCACAACAAACTGTGAATACGTACATTTTTTGTTGGCAAACCTAGTGACATGAACGATCCCCCAACATGTAGAACAGCCATTAATTACGTATTATATTACTTAAGTTAACAATTTCTAGTAATGTCAGTACTTTAACACAGTATTTGAAAGTGTTCCTTACACAGTACTCTGATGTTTAAGTTCACCAGTCTGAAAAAGTAACGAAAGTACTTTCCACACTAGAAATGAAAATACAATCATTTGAACACAAAATATGTACCAACCCCAAACAAACAAATACATAATATCTTCTTCTAATCAATTAAATTTGTATATTGCAAGGGCTATAGTCATAAAATTGTGGTCATGAATAAAATATTTTACATCCCACTGAAAAAGTAACTTTCCATGGCATGATGGTATTCCTAGACTCTGCCTATCAGCCTCAGTCTGGAACCCTCCTGTCTAAGTCATGGAAACAACCGCTTCTTTAGTAATGTTAATTACTATTTAAATATTTCTATTTCTCATAATTATGAGGGTGAACAACAAGTAATATAGATTGCAATAATACCAATACTATAATTTCCAAATCTAAATTAGATAAATTCACGAACCTAAACTGTCCAATTACAAGAGAACCAACAATGTATAAAAAGAAACTTTCAAGGTATGACACTGAAACAAATATTAGACTTAAATGGTTGTTTAAAATTATTATCAGATCAGTAAATATAGGTAGTATGAAACGTCAAAATATGTACATAAATATATAATGAAAACTAAGAATATTTAATACATTGTAAAATCGGATATAGTATATAATATTAAAATACATTAATTACAAACAATTTTACAAAAAAATTTCCTAAACAAATTTTTAAAATCATTTGGAGAGCACAAGCTGATACACAACAAAAAAATTGGATATTGTGTTGGGTTGGCATTGTTTTGTTAAGATTACAAATATGAGAATGGTAAGTAGAAAGAAAGAAGGAAAAAAAAAACAAACAACCAACATTTACATAATAATCCAGTCTTTACTTATTAGACTTCTTGATATTACAGCCAAACCAACACTACTTTATGGCAGTGGGGCCCACTTGAAATGCCCAATGAATGTATCAGACCAATATTTAAATAACAAGAACAGATAAAATAAATCCGAGTGAAAAAAACGAGACCTACCCCATTTTTATAAGAATCTTTAGTTCTATTCCAGAAAAATTTAGAGCATCTTTTGAGAATTTTTTATTCCCACAAATCTTTACTTCAAGTACAAAATTACATAAAACCTATTAGTCTTTAAATAATACTTCAGTTCCTTATTTAAAGACAATTTTTTAGAACAGTTTTCATTACGAAAAAATATCATGTACTCAATATTGTAGCTTTGGAATTTTCAAACACATAGTGAGTTCACTAAAAAATGGAACCAGCAACACTTTTATAAGCATTCTTTGTTTTAAGAAAAAAAGAAAAGGAAAAAAAAGAAAAGAAAAAAAAAAAAAGTAATTTTAAAAAATACAATTTTTTTGGCTGTCTTTACTTTCCATAAAATTACACAAAAGGTACTCATTTTCAGAAAAAAATTAAAAATTACCTTTTATTCAAAGATCAATCTTTGAAGATCAGATTAGTTAAGGAAAAACAAAAACCATCGTCAATACCGTGTAGGAAGACACTGAAAAAATGTCAAACTTTTGCAATTTTCGAAACTTTAGATTTCAACAAAAAGAACTCCTGTGCCATCTTCTTAAGCATGCTCTAACCTAGAAAAAAATTCAAAAACTTCAAACATTTTAAAAACTCTCTTAAGGCTTCATGTAAAGTATCCCTCAAATCAAAATGTGTTTCAAATTCGCAGGACCTCAAGTTCAGCCAGATTGATCCGAGAATATCAATTTTGGAGAAAACTATTTGAACAATGCACTAGCAATGACCAGACAGACAGCTGTTTTGCCCTAAACCAGTTTATAAGTGTTGATTATGCACTTGGATTCCGTCTACACAACATGTTAAAGGAAATATAATTTACTACACAAAGAAACACAATTTGTCCCCTTTTTCAACATCAGGATCCCAAACTATGAAGTTTTCTGACAAAAAATTGTGACTTTCTGCTGCAGTATTAGATTACTTTTTTTTTACTATGTAAGTAATAGGCGAGAAAGTACAAAGGTTGACCAAGGAAAAGATAACTGATAAGACCACAAATACCTTAGAAGTAACTAAGAAAATGCTGGAACAAAGGAAGAGACCATTGGGCGAGTTAAATAGTTTGTGATGATCACCATCATCATCACAATTCAGATTCCCAGGATACAACAGATTAAAGCTGGGGCAAAAATCCCACAATGCCAGAACTAATTAACATCAGCAGCAATCTGAATGTATCAATGAGATGACTGATAAGTTCTGCTTACAAGAAGTTGATGCGTAACTTACTACTAAATATCCCTTGCGCAGCTAAATCATACAGTGGTCTGGGTGGCGAATCTTGTTCTGGATTTTTGGTGTAATAAGCTAAAAAGGGGGGAGTGAACTTACTTTTGGAGATGCTGCCATTCCTTTATTTGGGGAATTCCTAAGTCGTGCAGAGCGAGTAGCAGGAGGACTCATATTTGGTAACGTAATTGTTTTTGAATTAGATCCAGATGACTCCTCGGAAACAGACTCTTTCTATCAGACAAAGTCTCACAATTAGACACACAGAGTAAATGCCTGGACGATAACAATGATGAAAAAAAACTTATCATTAAAATTAAAACACCACCACCTCTTACCTGAACTGAATCTTCAGCTGTCAGTGTTTCAGATGTTGCATCTCCACTTCCAAGTTCTTGATTGACTAAATGCACATATATGGGTCCAAGGGTAGACTTCAAATGAATCTGATACTTTTTCTTGCCATTTGGCTCCTAAAATAACAAACAAAAATTACTTCTTATCAAGATATGAGAAAATTTAAATCTTTCATTTTAATTTCTGCAATTTCATTTTACCTGTTCATTAATAACTGGAACTTCTAAATCAGTCCCATTAGGAGCCTGGATTGCAAGCAATGTGTTTCCTTCAAAACACTTATATATATCTTCATGTGTGATATACGCAAGATGACTATTCTCTACATCATCAGTAATATTACGAATACTTTGTTGCACCCACTGAAGAATTCAAATATAACAAACATTACACAACTTTAAAACATACAATAATATAAATAATGTTATATAATAATTCCGCGTACTAACCTGCTTGTGAGTATCTAATTTTGCCTCATGATCCTCCAAAATAGCAATCTCTCTCTTCAATCCACTTAGTCGTGTCGCCATCTCTTGAGTATTGCACCCAGGTCCAGCACCCCTTCAAACGAAACTTAATTTTAGATAATAAACACAAATTATTAAAAACTTTTAAGCTTAGTCTGTATTTATGATTAGGAATATATCTTAGATTACTCTAGACAAATTACGAGTAAGTTGCAGAATAACATATTCCAAAAGTTCGTTATAAATGTAATTGAATATCAACATGCTGCTAAAAGATGCAAAGAGTGAGAAAAATACTTGGATTTAACATTCTCATGGTCAAGAGTTTACAAACTGAATGCCCATTCTTGTTTGTTTTACGCATATTTTTTTGTTTTTGAGATTTTGCCAATTGAAATTGTATATGTGACACAATAAGTAATTAAAAAAAACAAACATATCAGAATAAAAATGAGCACTACATGGAGTACCACAAAGGAGTAAATTAGGACCTTATGTTTTTATTATAAATAAATGATCTACCAAGGGTGGTACATGGAAACACTATGTCAGCTGATTAAACTTCGATTTATCAATCAAAAAAGGAGAAAAGGTGATAATTAGAATAAATACAGAATTAATTTGGACTAGAGATTGGTTGAACATGAATTATTTGAATATTAAATGTTGACGAAACAAAAAGTATGATTAGGAGGCAAGACAAATTTATGGAAGATGTAGAGTCAAGACAATCAATTGTATTTGAGCATGCAAATCTGGAATATATTAGGAAATGGGTATTTTGAAGTGATTATAGATAATCGTTTAGTTTTAATGATCATGTACATTACACTAACAAAATAGCCAAGAATGTTAATTTGTTATATAAATTTCGAAAAGTCATTTTGAGATCTATATACATCTTCTTACCTTGTTTTAAGAATATACGATTTTATAAGTGAATACAATTTTAAATTATGCAATTAGCAGCCTAGTTGCTGTGTAAACAGAACTTGATTCTACCATTTAAAATTGACATTCGCTATTAGAAAGTAAAAAAATGTAATGCTTCCTACAAATGTACACGGAACTATACGTACTTCCATTGTATACTGTTTTTACTCTTCTTTTCTATAAGACCAATGCCTTCCAAAACATTCGTTATATCGTATATTCTTCTTTTCTGCCTCACCGCAAGAATGTCCGCTGCCTGTATAACAGTACATCAGGACTACATATATAATTAGACACTTAAACATGCGATTTCAATAAAAAAAGACTTTAAATCATCTTTACAAAACAATATCCAACACACATAACCTCACAATTTGAAACGGGGTCAAGGTAACAAACACATTATAATAGGTTCAAAAATAACAAATGGATCATTTACTTACAACTTTTAAATCCAGTACACCATCTCTAGCTTTTTGTAACAAAGAAACAAAACGTGTCGTCAGCAAACCTAAAGATTTTTCAAACCTACTTTGCTGGTTATCCGCCATCTTTTCAAGTCACACGCCACCAGACCGTTGTCAATTTAAACTGGAGATACTTTGAACTTCTTCCCGTCGAAAACACCAATAGAATGCGTTGGTAGCAGTTTGTTTACTAGGCATCTTCTGTGCAATTATATGAGGTTCTATTCAGAGAGAACGATTTTGTGTTAATAAAGTGAGCTAGGTCATGGGATATGGGTCATTCCATTTAAGCAAAATTTGACCTATATGTCCCAGTTTTTGAAACTTTTTTTTTTTCGTGAAAAGTAAAAGCAAAATTTTGAAACACGTGATTTTTTCATTTTCCCCCAAATATTATTTGTCGAGCTACAGTTAACAATGTTTAACTCATTATATTACTAAATGGCTTCAAACAGGCAGCCCAAAAAAATAAAATATGCAGTAATCTTTCTACATTTCAATCAACATTTATTACAAAGATACAATAAGTTGCAACATTTAGAAAAAAAGGATATTCAGGCTGTTACACGTCGTAAACTATAAAAAAATCCTGTTTATGTTTTGGGCCTTGTTCTTATAATAATTTTCGGTGTTTACGTCTTTTGTAATTCATGACGACTCTCTACGACGCGTCCGTCCGTCTGTGAACAACATTTGCGGCTACAATGTTCAGCCGATTTTCTCCAAAATTGATATTCCTCAAACGATGTGACTCATGTCCTGGCCCCTTGAATTTGAAATTTTAAGGTGTACGTTACATGAAGCCACTGGGACATTTTCAAAATTGAAGAAAATGGCGCCAACAATTTTGATTAAATTTTGTTGGTTGATAGTCCAAAGGACGTTTAAGAGAATGGCGCAGATATCACGTCGGTTGAAAACTCCTGATTTTTCAAAAATTAAAAAGAAAGAAAAAAACACTTTTTCCGGCGTCTTCCTACAACCAAAATATTCTTTCCTTTAATAAAATATGTTCCTAGATTTCGAAATAAGGTCATGTACAAGTTTTTAGAAATATCTCTATTTTTCGCGTTATTTTGCGTGAAATATAAGCAATTTTTATTTAAACATTTTTTTTCAGAAACGGTCGTTTTTAATGAAATTTTGTTGGTGGATAGTCTAAAGAACGTTTAAGAAAATGATGTATGTCTCATATTGGTTAAAAACCTTGATTTTTCAAAAATTGAAAATATCAAAATTTATTCGACGTCCATCTACGAATAAAATAATGAAAATACAGTTTTTTCTTAGTGAGATGTGTTCATCAATAACAGATCTTTAAATAATTTTTCAATTCATAATAATTAATTTTTTTTTACATGAGAATTTTTTGAGAAACTTGGGTAATTTAAATTTCTTTAAACTATTTTTTCTTAAAAACCGCACAACGTTTCTTGATTAAAATGGAAACTTAAGAAAGAACCCTTAAGAGAATGGTACAGATCATGTTCATTGAAATGCGAAAATTTAAAAACATTTCGGCGTCTTGGCACAACAACAATTGTAAAGATACATTTTTTTTGAAATGAAATGTGATCATAAAAAAACTTTATGTGTTTTCTTAATGAAATGTGATCTTTAAATAAGGTAATGTTGAACTTTATGAAAATAATATTTTTATGTAATTTTGCGATAAATATCCCGTTCGAATTGACTGCTCATAGTTTTCGATGTCTTCTTATAAGTACAATTTTTTTTAATAAAATGTGTTTATCAAAAGTCTTCAAAAATATTCAAACAAGGCCATGTTCAATTTTTTAAACCTATGAGTACTGTTTTGCTTTTTGGTGTAAACTGGCGACAAAATTAAATGCCCGCTGCGAGTTTTCTGCGCTTCGTGAACGATTCCACACAGTTGGATGCTTTATAAGTCAGAAATTGTATTTTATTTAATATTGCTTTGTTCGTTTCTTACATTCGATCTTTTTTTATACATTTGCAAATTAATTTTTTAGAAAACATTTAAAACGTTCTTAAAAAATATGAAATAAAAATTGCTAACTTTCAGGGAATATTAACAATGCAGGGAATGTAACAACAGAATTCCGCGTCACGCTCGCGAATTTCTATTAATTGTCTCATTGTTGTAACATGACTTAGCTCTATGGAAAGAAGTTGTAATTGTCAAATGTTTCGCTTCAGCCCACTTCTACGCAAAAACCTGGTATATATGCGCTTAAATATATCATATAAAAAAATAAAAAAACATATGCATTAAAGAAAAAAATCCCTGTAATATGCAATAATGAGAAATAAAAATGGGCTACCTTTGTTTAATATATGACGGTACGTAAAGTTATATAAATTTCCTTTCGATATGCGCAATCCGTAAAAACATGTAATTGCATGAAGTTATGCGGTCTAGAAATAAGTAAATGGTGCTACAATTACATTCTCTGTTAACGTACGAGACAATACTTCTGTTTGCGATGATTGTCGCAGCATGGTGATGTATGCAATGCCCGGTGAGGTACGTTATATACCATGTATTATCATTTGGTCCCTAAAAAAAATAATGCGTATTGAATAAAAGAAAAAGGCACATTACCTTTTCAAAAACTTATAGAAAACTATGCTTGAGAAATTTTTCCATAAGAGCCTGTACTAATTTAAACTTCTTTTATTACAAAAGTAGGCCGGTAAGGGCCAAATTGTTTTTACCATCTTATCAACTGTGTATGATGTACTACTACAAACCGATAAAAAAAGTTGCACATAGTTTTGACAACACTGCGCTGGCAACAAGGCGATGCTCTCTTCTTTATAATATTCCGCGAATACTGTATCAGTCTGTATTACTGTTCGTTTCATCAAAGTAAGAAATGATTGCTGCTTCTGACAATTGAAATGAATGCAGATATGCATCACAGACGCTTTGTTTTTGAATTGGACGTTTTCACGTTTCAGCTGAGTTGTTAGTGGCCCATAAAAAGTAATACTTCAATATTAAGTAGTCGTTTCCAATAACGCGAGAAAGTATTTGTCTCAAAAGTCGATAGTTTAATAATTTTTAAAAAAAAGTTCTACATACTTGCAAATTTGGTATTTATGAAGTGAGGAATCGAGATGATTCTGAGAAATTAATTAGAATAGAAATGTCTACTTGCTGTTTTGCTGCAGCTTCTTCTAGCATCACTTCCCAAGCACGTGCTAATCGGCAGAAGATTACCATCAATAGCTTCACAGAGCAATATATTGAAGTATCCCTTCACATCTTACTGTGTGCCAGATATGTTCATACAGTAATGTAACGAAATGAGCGCGGACTTGCCCTCAAACCTTTTATCCGGACCTACTTTATAAAATTAATATTGTGGATATTTTCTTTAAATACACTATACTTCATTGACGGACAATCTCTTTCAGGTCTCATTAACTGAAGTATTACCCAAGACGGTACAAGTCAAGACGGTGCTATCATCCCCCTAATTCTAACTGCTATGTATAGAAAAGCGTTGCAAGCTATGCTCTTGTCTGAGCGAAGCTCAAATCCAAAGAGTATATCCTATGCTTCAAATCTAAATAACAATCGAAAGGTCACAAAACTGTCAACAAATTTGCTTTATAAATTAGTGTTCTCAAGCAAATAGTAACAGAGCTATGAGATTTCAAAATTGCACCAAATTTTCTTCTTTATTCTGAAGTTGCGCAAAATTACTAATGGTCTCTCTAATGTTGTATTTTTCAATTCCCAAGATTATTATGAATAAAAAGGGATTAAATATTAATGTTTTTAATACTTACTGAGGTTAAACTCGCGTTTGCAAGTTCTTGTAAAAGTGACCGTAGGCGTAAAGGTAAGTAACATGATTTACTTACATCAAAAGTATTTGAATAGAACAAAATCACGTTCGTTTCTTCTTATAATAATGATATTATTATTATTATTATTATTATTATTGTTATTATTATTATTATTATTATTATTATTATTATTATTATTATTATTATTATTATTATGAAGAAGAAGATGAAAAAAAGATGATGAAAATAAAACAAAGGCACTTCGCCTAGCCACCGTTGATGCAGTTCACATATCCTTGCCTTGAAGGCAATTCTGATGAATGCCACTTTCTTATTGATGATTTGATGGGTGAATTCTGGGAGATTACCTATTCGGTAGCCGCATAGAATAGTCGTGCCTCCTCCTAAAGTTTGGAGAAGATATATTGATAACAGACCGCAAACAGAATATCTGTTGTATATTTTCAAAATGTTGAGTACACATTATTAAATGACATCTGGTATCTAAACAAGAAATATATCGCAGATGCATGTGTCAGTCTTTAAAACAGCAACTGACGTACTCACAGGCGCCAACTAACAATTTCTTGTCTAATGTTGAATCGGTCAGGCTAGTTACGTTGCCTTTATCCAGTTTTAACCTATTTTAAAACTCAAGAACGGTTCAATTTATTAATGAAAGGACTAGTGGTGCTCCAATAGCACATACTTTCTCGCGTATTGGGAACAGCGCGTAAGTAATATTGAAATATCGCAGTTTCTGCGCTATTAACACCTGAGCAATTTAACCAAGAAGCAAGTAACGCACTTTTGACAGCGCAGCGTTGTCAAAACTGTGTGCATTCGCTTAACTAATACATCAACTCAGCTAATAATTATAATATATGCAACTGACATAAAAATAATTACGAAAACTTTGGCTGCTCACTCCTGAGTTGCATTTTGTCTTAGCATTTAGCGATAGCGTTTCATGGCATATGTTTTATTCAACACGCGGTAACTTTTTTTAAAGATCAGATGATATTAAACGATATACGAAGGTTGCCTTTTATGTTTCGGGATTTGGTAACCCGGTGTTTCAATCTGGCAACTGCCAGCTTTATCGTAAAGTTAGATGTTTTGAGGTTATCCGTACTCAGAACGTTTTGACATACGAGCGCTATTTGTGGTGTTTACAGTAACTTAAGAAATTCATCTTGGCCCCAAAATGGAATTAAATCGCGATCATTTTCGTTCGATTATGGGCCGGTTTCACCAAACGGAATCAAGAAGATGATCCCGAGTTGATCCGGATCAACTTCAGTTTG